TCCGTTACGTTAAGACTGTGGTCCGTCCTTTGATTTCACCAGAGAGAATCCTGTTGAAAGCCGAGAGATACTCACGCTCATGAAAGTAGTTAAAAACAAACAAACAAATATACACAGAAACAAAGTTGGGATGAACTATTAGACAATACTGCATCTTCAAAAGTAAGCAGACTTTTCTGTTTCCCAAATGACTCTCTACTTCCCTGAAACATATCTGCATATCTTAGTATGGAAATTAAATACAAATTAAGAGATTTTGTGATCAGCTTGTGTTTGATACCCTCTGGCTTCACATTATAAATGCAAAATTTTGTTCTAAGTGAAAAATGAATGAAGCTGAAATGGCTTAGTATTAACATAAGGATAGAGACAGTAACCCAAGGAAAGGAAAGGGAGTCATAGATTTTTAGAACTAGAGTTGATTTACTCTAGAATTCAGGCAAATCACTTTCTGCTCCATTTCCATATTTGTGAGATAAAAGTCTTCTACAGGGGAATTAATTTTTAAAGCAAGATTTGAAGTACTGTCTAAAACTGATGGCTCCGCATACATTATTCTAGGGAACCTCTTACTCCTGCTATTCTCCCCCCTACAGAGTCACCCATTTATTGTGAAACGACCTAAATATTAGGCCCTGTACCTTCCTAAATTGTTTGGAATTGGAGAGGGTCTTGTCTCTGTTCTTCAATCTTAGGATGCTGTCCCAGCTCAGAGTCTGAAATCTTCCTCACCACGTAAGACTTTACCACCACAACTCCTGCTTCTCCATTTAAAAGAAGTTCACTATCTGAGTATGTGGTGCAAAATCTATGTGTTGAATTGCATGTGCTTTTAGGGCAGTTTTTGGTTTCTGGTTTCTAGAACAAAAAAGGCAGTCAGCTTGGAGTTATATTAAGCAAGACGGAAGGAAGAAAAAAATTGCTTTAGCACAGTAGAGTCACTAACCTTATCAGCACAGAACTCGTCTCCAATCTTTTTGAAAACCAGACCTCAGCCACATCCTATTGCAGGAGACACAGGCTAGAGCATATGACTGGTGACTAGTACTCACCCCAGCCCCAAGGAAGAACAGCTCCGAACTGGCTCAGAGACAGAGAGCAAGATAGGACTGTACAGGATATTAGTTAGCCTCATGCCATACGCCGGAGGGAATGCTCTGTGGCTGTGACAGAAGACAGCAACCCAGGTGATAAGAGGAAACAGCAGACACATAATACACAAAGTAATTTTATGAGGGAAATTATGAAGACACCAAGTCTACAGCTAGAGGCAAAACCAAATAGTAAACAAGTTTACTTAGGTCTAGTGCTGCTGTGCTTTGGCATATGCAATTGCAATCCTTTTTCAGTTTGATTACTTTGAGTTTCTTGCCCATGTAACTTTTTTTCCCCATGGGCTGTATTTATTTCACTAAAGACAGCTTTTTCCTGGCAGAGTGCTGTACTGTGAAGTCTTTGGTGGCTTCTACAATTTAAACACTGTGGATTACAGCCTGTCAACCAGCGCCGCCAGCAGACAGATGGGATGTGAGAGCATAGTGATAATACAAGCATTTACAATTGGATTTTTCCCCCCCTCCTTTTTTCATATCAAGGTGCTAATCTCCTCTTCAAGTACAAGCCATTATGTTGTAGATTTGAAGTGCTTATTCCTGATCTAAAAGGCAATACAGATTGAAGGTTGCTGCACCCAGAATCCAGATTAGTTATCAAAAAAGAATATATACTTCTACTCCATTAACCGTTATTCACAGACAGAATTAGGTATCCAGCTGACAAATAGCCTCACTTGAAGAAGAGGTTTTGCAGCAAACCAAGTGGCTCATTTGTTTGATTTTTGACATAGATTACCACAGCAAGAATTGTTTCTCCAAACATCTCAACTCAATACCTTAAACTCGTAACAAAGCTCTGGTCTGCAAATGTTTACATACTGGTCCAAGTTTCCTAATAGAAAAACTGTCATATACAGTTCATATAAACTGTCATATAGTGTTGTATAAAAGAACCGACAACTGTCAGGCGTGCACACTTCTAGATCAGGTTTATAGATGGTATAATCATGTTAGTTGGAAGACACTTCTGGAGGTCATCTAGACCAAAGCCCTGCTCAAAGCAGAACAAATTACACCAGGTGGCTCAGGGCCACATCCAGTTGAATTTTTAGTGTCTTCAAGGATGGAGATTCTATAACCTCCCTCATCTACTGTTCCGGTTTCTGACTACTTGTATGGTGACAATATTTTTGTAATGTCTAGTCAGAATTTTCTATACACCAATTTTTCTCCGTTGCCTCTTTGCTATCCCTGTGCACTCTGAGAAGGGTCTGGCTCCATTTTCTGTAGACTCTTCCATTAGATAGTTCAAGACAGCAGAAAATTCTCCCCTAGCTTTCTCTTCTTTAAGCTAAGCAAACCCAGTTATCTCTCCTCTGACCCTTGTGCTCCAACCCTCTGATCTTGGTGGCATCTGGTAGACTTACTCCAGTGTGTCAATGTCTTTCTTCTACTGGGGTGTCCAAAACAGGACACAGAACTCCCGATGCGATGTTACAATTACCAAATATAAGGGAAGACTTACTTCCTCAACCTGATGGCTTCATTTTACTAAATGAGCCCCAGATGGAGTTGGCCACCTTTGCCACAAGAACATGCTTCTGGTCAACCTGCTTTTGAATAGAATACCCGTATTTTTTTCTGCAAAATGTTTTTTCAGCTAGTACGACTGCACAGGGTTATTCCAACCCAGATGAAATACCCAGTCACATTTGCCCTTGTTACACTTAACGATGTTTAGTTCAGCTCATTTATCTTCCCTGTCAAGGAACCCCTGAATAGCAGCTGTGCCCTCCAGCATATCATAACCTGGTAATCTACACTACTCTTGATGGAAGCAGCTACTCTGAAAAATCAGGCTCCTTACCTTTGTAGAAGCAGTAGATATTACAAAATGTATTGCTTGATTCCCTTTGCTCCGAACATGCTACATGCTCACATTAGCAGCTTTCTGAATGTCTTATGAATACAGAAGTGTTGCCTCTATTTTCTTCTATGGGTTTGAGCTCCTTCTGGCATCACCCAGGATGCATCAGCCCCCCATCCAACTGGTCCCCCATCCAACTGGTTTGAAGATCATCAGAGGGTAACATTGAGAAGTACCTAGGCCACACAAGAGAACTTAGATGCATCTGAACTAAAAAAACCCACAACACATAGGGACAACGCAGAAATGTTGAAATGAGACAACAGGAAATGTGACAATTCAGTTCAACAAATGCTGATAAGGTTCAGGTCAGGAATGTTTAACTATTTTATATTAATAAGAAATCCTGGGACAAAGCATCATAGTGGAAATCCTTTCCAAAACTTTGTTCCATTACAGATCAACATTTTCATCTGACACTGGATGAAAACAACTTTTCTTGAAAGAACAGTTTCTCATCACATTAGAATTCTTTGTTTAGTTGTTTGTTTTTTAAAACCAGCACTAGACTAGTAAGAAAACTGTAATTTACAGTCAAGAAACATTTACCATGATTTATCGTGAGAGCTAAAAGGGAACCAAAGTTTTGTCACAGAATAATTCAAACAAATAAAACTTACGGCACATTTCAAAGGCTGACATCAAAGCAATTTTATGTAGACTCTCTTTATACAGTAGTTACATATAATATGCATGATAAAAAATATGGTAGTTTCAGTATTTAATATCCAGTCTAAACATAAGTATTCAAAAGGAAGTATTTTTACACCATTTCAGTAGTCACTTAGCTCAGTAGTTGGTTACAATAATCCTTATTGTTTTCAGGAACTGGATGGAGCTATAAGCACAAAAACTCCCATTAAAGTTAATGCATGACAAAGTTCCACTGCAACCCTCTGAAAAGCAAAGAGTGACATTAAAAGAAATTCAGACACTGAAGTACATTGAAATATATTGTGTCCTATGGTAGAGCTTGATACTCCATGGGTCAGAAACACGATGGTAACTTCAAAAGGCACTCTGAGTTAAACTACAGTAACTCCGGTCCACAAGCATTTTAGAATCTTGGTATTGTATAGTAGGAAAAAAATCCCTATATTTATTCAATATAAATTGCTTTAATCTCTGTTCTAGCCCCAAAGCAGTCAAATTATATTGCACTTTTAAAATATTCTGTGTAGGCTGTGATAAAAATCAAGTATTTACATGTTGTGTTTGTTGAAAAACAATGCATTACTTTTAAAATATTTTAAGAACCAAGTTTTAACACTTATTCTTGTATTATTAATATAACCAGAGGCTACCTCAAATAGATTTTTTTTTTATTAGCTCCTATTGTAGAAACACTTTTGGCCCTTCAAAAAAAATGTTATGCTGCAATTCATGTTCAAAACCAATATCAATGTTTGCCTGAAACTGGAATAGTTAGAATATTTAAATAAATAAATACATAATTTCCAAAGTAGTAACAGCTTTGGAGTTTTGTAAACAAACTGTTGTGGAAAGTCTGTAACAAGACTCCATTTGGTATGTTAAGACTTTAATTGGCAATACTTGACCAGTTATACAACCTCTGCCAGGCTAGAAAACAGTTTCCTAGGCACATCTTATAAATCAGTCTGGAAAAAAGGCCCCAAAAATACTTATTGTTCCTTAGGTTACATGAATAAATAAAAATGATCAAAGAGTAACGTGATCCACTGAAACCAAAATTGGCATTTATGTGATCCTTAGGGGGGGGAAGGGGGGGAAGCAAAGCAACTCTATTCTTTTTTAAATACAACTTAAAGGAAATGAACAAGCCATAAATGAATATATGACAACCAAGATGTACAGGACACAAAGGCTGGCAGAATAAAACAAGCATTATAAATTTATACAAATACTGATCTAGACAGAACTGGTATCTTAGCTGCATCTCATCAGAAGAGAATCATGATTCATTTTTCAATCCAAATTTGAAGAAACATTCCAAATCTGTGTGTGGTAAAACAAATCCAGTGCAAAGCACCAGCTCTGATGAAATTCTGCTGACATCTAGGTTGCCCTACATTCCTGTTACAACATGAGTGGTAACTTAAAAGAAACATAACAACAGATGTACAGTTACGCCATTTACATATAAATATATGTATATGCATGTTCTAGAAATTTCATTGGTGTTAGGAGGTCTTGTAGGCTGTGTTGGATATATTTTATATAGTACAGTTGTAGTTTACATTTTCAATTTCATGACATATCTGAAGTGCTCTACATATGCTGTATACCCCTGTGCTTCTCTGTAGTTTTTTATTCTATACAGAATAGCTTTCTTTTGGTTGTCATCACTAAAAGCTGATGGTTTGACAGAGCAAGGAAAAGCTACTCGCAGGCTTTTGTGGAAAACACAGCATTTGCTCTTTAAGATTGTTATTGATGAATGAAATGATTAAATGTTTCTGTTCAAAACCAAGAACCATGCTGGTACACTTGCTGTTAGTAGAGACTAAGAACTGTCACAATACTCAGTCTACATGCCTAGTCTGTGTAGTTAATGGAGCCTTCAAAGGGCAATTGAAAATCCTTCAGTTCAGAAGCCCACCCTTTCTCATTGCCCATACAGAGATGTTTCTAAATTTGGTAATGAAAATTCCTCTCCTTCCCTTCCCTCCAAAGTAGAGAATTAGAGGAATATCCAGTGCTACACGAAATGAAACCTCCGTCACATCACTAATAAACTGCACACTTTGCAAGCAAAAGTCAATGTTGTTTGATAGGAAAAATCAAAAATTAGTATCAAGAATTAATATAGCTCATCAAATAACTACACAAAGTGATTTGTCCGTAAGTTAAAACAGTTAAGCTGCAACTGTACTATACTTCAGCATATATATTAAACTTAATTGTAACTGAGTTAACAGCCGCATTTGCCTTTTTCTTGCTCCTCATTCAGTTGTTCTGTAGAGCTGTGCCCATTGGATCGCACTACGCCTTCTGGGATCCAGGATTTATCCACACACCGTTCCATGCGCTTCATAATGAGGTCAAGCAGAGTTTCAATGGCTTTGCTTACATTATTCCCATTAGCTGCACTGGTTTCAAAATACGGTATTCTGCGTAAGATAAAAACCGCAAACTTAGCTCACGTAGTTTATATTCATAGGAGAAAAAACAATGCGTGACTGCTGCCACATACTTAGAAATCCCACGAATGCTGTTACTGCCACTCCATGGCAGAAAGACACTAAGTGGTCAGTGGTCTGAATTGCAAAATAAATTAACAAAATGGTTGCAGGTAGGGCAGAAGGATAAGCTTTAATTTAATAGATCCCACAACAGAATGGTTTGGGTTGGAAAGGACCTTGAAGATCATAGAATCATAGAATGGTTTAGGTTGGAAAGGACCTTGAAGATCATCGAGTTCCAAACCCCCTGCCATGGGCAGGGACACCTTCCACTAGACCAAAGCTCAAAGCCCCGTCCAACCTGGCCTTAAACACCTCCAGGGATGGGGCATCCACAGCTTCTCTGGGCAACGTGTTGCAGTGCCTCACCAACCTCACATTGAAAAATTTCTTCCTAATACCTAATCAAAATCTACCCTGTTTCAGTTTAAAACCACTACCCCTCGTCCTATCTCTACAGTCCCTGAGTGTCAATATGGGTCAGTGTAAGTTCCCAAAAGTTCCCAAAGTTATGCTCCTCAGGTCCATTTTTTCAGCTCCGTTCCCCACAAGAGATGCAATTACTTTATATGGCTTTGTGTGTGTAAGTGTTCTCCTTACTGATTTCTATCTACATCAGCTAGGGAGTCGTTGCAAGAGAGGGAACGCTAGTATGGACATTCCCCTGCAGGCAAGGCAGTAAAGACTCCTAATGTGGTACTCTTATAGTTGCAAAAGGTGACTGTTTCTTCTGTTGACACCAGAATTATAAACTCTCTTACATATGAAAAAAAAAATTAAAAAAATCTCAGTACTCGGACCACCTATGTCATTGTGAACAAAAGTTTCTGGGTACCTTGGTATTGAAAATACATTGCTAGTTTGCATTATTGTTGTGGGTCAGGATGTTTCAGTGGCACGTCTGTAGGCTCTGACCTTCTGCGCTCAGTGCTCCCCACAGGGTGGTGCTGGAGTGGCTACATTAGTGTTATTCCCCAAGTGACTGATATAATCACTTCATAATTTTAAGTATTTCTTACTTAACTTGCAAGATTCAGTGACTGGTCAAAAATATTATCTTACTGTCTCAGTGTATAGGTCTCCTGCCATCATTTTCAAAATACACCACTTACCACTACAAAGCCTTTCCACAGAAAGCCTTTTTCACAAAAAAATTCACTGTCTCACGCTTTTGTTACCAGAAGAATGTTTGCTGTAGTAGGATTTATCTTGCTCCTCTCAGGAGTAACTGACTGCTAGCAGCCTGTCTCATCTCTACAGGGCAGAGAGCTTTGGAACTGCCTACAGGTTGGACGTGATCTACAACTTTGACTTTTAGCACCCTATTCTTAAATTAAGTTGGCACTTTCAGCCACAAAGATAAACATTTCATAAATTATTTCCAGAAGTCACATGCAAAGAGATCTCTTTCAAATCTTTAAGAAATGGCCACATGCCATCTACTGCTGTTTAAAAGTTTTTGCTCCCTCACAAGGAGCTGGTTAAAGTACCATAAGCACTTGCTGTTATCTGTGTGATGTGGACTTCAAACAAGCATTTTCAGAGGAGAAGGAAAAAGTAAGAAGGTAATATTGCACTAAACCCACTTGTGTCTAATAGACAAGATTGCTTCTGATTTGCCTCCAGTGATTCTTCAAGGTCAAGGAAAGCTAATTTGTGACTACGTGATAGGAAATAGCATGGCACAACAGGACTAGACCTGCAGAACAAGGCAGTTAGCGCTGAGGACCTAGTGTTCACATTGTGCATGTTTTGTGGACTTGACTTTAGACCAGCTGTAATCAACTTGGCCAGACTGAACACAGATTACTGGTGGGAGCACATCATCTAGTTTAGTTTTAAATTGAGAAGGAATCCAGTTCACATGCTAGAAAGCTGCTCCACCATGAGAATCAAACCACAATAAATGGATCAGAAGATTTGCTTCAAAGGTGCACTTCTGATCCACACTGAAATGCAAATGTAATCCAGAGATGGGACCCATGGAAGAGTTAAGAGGGTATCAGAGTGCTATGGGATTAATTAGTATGTGATAGGAACAAAGATTTCACACAGTTCCTTTGGGGACACATGACCTGTGCCTGGAGGGAAGGGGAAGGGCAAGGCTACCCTGTCTTCCAGCTGGTCTGACTCAGTTTTCAGACTCCCTGGGAGCCTGTGAGAGTGCAGATGCCTGCAAGAAAACGCACCTGACCCCTTTGAGGTTAAGTCACTAAGAATTCACCTAAGGTGAAGTCCTAACAAAATTACTTGTACAGTTGAGGGAAGATTGAATGGGAAGGGGGCAGAGAACCGGGGAATCATGGTCTGGACCAGAACTGCTCTTTTGTGGGAACCCAGCACTCTGTGGGCAGACTGTCCTAATACTGGTGAATAGGTCCCAAGACTCTCAAAGAAACTGAGGCCGGCTGTTTCATAGGCCATGCCAGAGACAACAGCTACCCTACAACAAACTTCAGTAAAACAATTCAGCTTGTAAATTAGGATATCATTGCTTGGTATTATTTTTGTTTTCCCTAAAATCTGATGTGACACTCATCACCTCACCAAATGCTCTTTCGGATTTCACTTTGTAAGAGACCTGGGGTTTCTGTGCCACACAGAAAGCCTCAGTGCAGGCAAGAGCAAAGAATTAGACCCCCATCCTTCACCTGCCTCTCCAGCTAAATTCTCTCTCTTTTCTAGAATGTTTGGGAAAATTTACTTTGTTTACTGCCAAGGAAAAAAGATTAACCACTCTCCAGTGCAAGATTATTGCAATACTAACTATGAATTTTTAGGTAGTGCAGAAAACATTAATCTCTGACAGAAAGAAAGATATCATACCAGCCAGTTAAGCATACTTAAAATGCTTCTTCTCACAATAACCTTTCAGTATACAGAAAAGGCATTACAGAAGACATTTCATTGTTTTAAACACAGCAATCGCTAGAAGGAAGTTACTTACCCATATTTTTCTGCAAGTTCCTTAGCCTCTTCTTCTTTCACCATTCTTTGGTCTTCCAGATCACTCTTGTTTCCACATAATACAATGTCAGGGTTTTCACAATATGCATGCATTTGTAGCTGACCTAACAGCAACAAGAATAGGGGTCACAACTTACTGTCACACATAAAGCTCACTAAGAACACTAACATGTTTCAAGGGGCACAAAGTCCTTCAGGAAAACAGCTCTTTGAAAGACAGAAAACAAGTATGTTCTCTGTTATCTCACAGGACTTCTGCTACGGCACTGAGGAGTCAAAGAACAGGAGGACATCCACTACCATGTACCCAGTGAAAAAGGCAGGGAACAAGCCAGGGGAGCAGATGCCTGACAAAGTTAGCACAGAAGCTGTGTATTTGTAGTGTAAGGAGTTGCGCTCACAAAGCATCTTGAGTGAGCTGCCAGGAAAGGATGTACTTTCCTCTCCTGATGGATGATACAGTCTGGGGACTCCTTCGCCTAGATACACCAGCCTAGTAAAATTTGCCTTCCATTAAGTCTTGCTGACAAAGCTTCAGGTGAGTCAAAATAGAGTTTTGCATATGCTTTCCACACACTTAAATTACTGAGTATCACCAAAGCCAGGGATATTATGTTCTCTCAGCTTGCTTTTATATACGTTAAGATTCAAGTTCAGTAAGCAAAGCTGAATTTCAGGTAAGTACCAGAAGCCACCACTAGCAGCTATTACAATTATGAATGCAACATTTACTGTCTTTTACTGAGAAAGCTATAAAAACCAGTATTTTCAGTTCTATTTCCCAGTGAGACTCCGTATTTACAAACATAGCCCCCTCCCTGCCCATGGAAAGAAAGAAAATAGAAAAAAGAAAGAAATGCCATACTTATCCAGTTCCTGACATTCAGAAAGCTTTGCTCATTTGTCAGATCAAAGAGTAGAAGAAACCCCATGGCATCTCTGAAGAAAGCCGTTGTCAAGCTACGAAACCTAGACCAGCAGAGTGAAATTAGTTGGCTCATCTGACAAGTTACTTTGAAAATATAATTGCATACAGTCATGAAACTGAGGTAACTTAAGACTGAATTAACTAGAATGAAATATTCATCATAATTGTTTTGCTGTTGTAGGGACCGCATAACATTACTATGGTCTAATCAGGGCCTAAGGAAGACATTTCCCTTGAGCGTGAGACCTTTAGACAAAGTCTTCTACTCTAAAGTATGACTTGATCAAGATTCAGAAATGAAAATAAGAATGAAATTCAAACTTTGAACCCTATACACATCAGTTCTTTATTTTAAGACTATCAGCCACTGGGATGCTAGTCTTTTGATACACAAATAGAAAAGAATCCTTTGAGGTGATTTCACCTGCCTGACCTTCCCAAGACCTCAACATATTTATAGAAATTTAAGGAAAACTGAAAAAATAAAAGCTTTAAAAGTATCTATATGCATTGGCCATGAAAAAATAAACTGAAAGTTTCCAAAACCACAAAGAGCAACAATTACAGTTTTAATGTTCTACAGCTGTAAACTACAGTTTTAATTTAATGGATATTCACAGGAAACTTTCCATCACTGTTAAAATTAAAGTAAGCGTACTTTCCCATCTTAAGTTATACAATTAAAATGTAACAATCAATAAAGAGAATTCATGTGCTCAGTTCCATTGGCACCTAGCTTGATGACAACTGTCTTACTTGCTAGGTGGGGGGCAGAACATACCTCTCCTGCCCTGCAGTATCCCAGAGTTGAAGATGTATCCTCTGTCCTCTGCCACCAACGCCATCTGGCCCATTGGGTCTATACACCTGTAAAAGGTAAATTTGCAAGACTGAGTGTTAGCAGTCCAGCCTCTATAGAACACAAAATAACTGACTGATTTGAAGTCATCAAATGCAGCAAAACTAGCATTGCTGATGTCAAGATCCCAGCTACAAATCAATCCCTCTGCCTTGTAAGACAAAAGTAACATGGGTTGCATTTTAGTTTTGCATCTGATTGAATATTTAAAATTAAGGGTAAAAGTGAAACTAGAAAAAACGTATCCCATAGACTATGGACTCCAAACAGATACTTAGAGCAGCCATTAAATTGCATTAGACAAGCTTAATTTTAGGATTTCGATTTTCTATTTTTTGCTATTATCTTGTATCGTGTTCAAATTAAAATGTAATTATAGGGAAGCAACAACTGGATCATGCAATCTGGCAATATATTTGTACCACTAACAGAACCTCATTAGCAAACAGAATATACTCATAAAGATAATGACATCTCTTCTAAGCTGCCAAAAGATTGCTGAAAAAGAGCTGAGGGTAGATCTTATCATATCATAGCTTAAAAAGCAGAAATTGAATGATAATAACAACAGCTTAAGAGTTTACTCAGCATGAAAATATAAATAAGGGCATCTGTTAGCTTTGGAAGGATCAGATAAAAATAGATTCACTTCTTGTTTAGAACACTTCATGTTAGGTTGTCTTCTTTACCTTCAACTGTCATACCTAAGATTACCAGACTTAGAAACATATCTTCAGAGACACATAAACTTGCCAAATTTGTGGATTATATGATTCAGGTTATGAAGCCTAAATCTTATCCTGAGTTATCAAATACACTGATCAAGTAAATCCACCATGTTTAATATCCCACAAAAGGAATACAAACTTATTCAAGAGACCAGTTTCACACTTCACAAAGATATTTACTCCTCACACTACTGTGATATTTACTCCTCACACCTGCGGTGCACGTCATCCATCAAAAGCCAGTCTGCACGATGCCCATTACACCATCCAGACTTCTGGATGCTTGGGAAATCATCAGACTCCACTGAAAGGAGTTTAATACTTCTACGTAAGAATGAAAAGAACTTGTGCTAACTCAATTTCTCAGTGCAGTAAGGACCAGCATCCAATTGGTTATCATAACGCAGTGCTCAGCTTCATATCAAAAGTATGCTTGCCTAGTTTAACACCAATTCAGGGGTTAAAAAAAACCAAACAAACCAACCTTATTTTTCACGATTCTTGTCCAGTAGTGGTAACTGTTTAGGAAGCCAGATCAGCTCCCATGTATCATGCTATCCCACGTCATTCACATGTTTTAAAACAGTTTTAAAGTCAATGTTACAGCCTTTGTTCACTAGCCATTCCAGTCCACAAACAGCAAAAACTTTTTTTACTACAACCCAATCCTTCCTCATAACGAGAGTTCAACAATAAAAGTGCTACTCCAGGTACTACAGGCACAACTCGTGGAGTAGATAGACTCAGCAACACTTGCTGAGCAGTAAGAAGTGGCTGCTTAGAATCAGCTCTTCTTACTTTAACTTTGGGGGAAATGGGGAGGGGCAACACAAAACAATGACAAAAATAACCAGGTAAAATGAGACCATTTGCTTGTCACAAAATTAAGTACACAGTAACTATTGATTGCATGCCTACACATAAGGATCAGCAGGTCAGATTTTTGAAAAATACATTCCAGCCATCACCAAGACAGATACCATTTTAAAGTAGCACACTGTTTGTGAAAACTCACCACTCTCTTTTCCCGAAAATCAATGCCCACCGTTGTGATAAATTTGGAATTGAATTTGCCATCTGTATATTGGTAAAGAAGGCTGGTCTTTCCTACTCCAGAATCACCGAGTGCTAGAAATTTTATGAGGTAATCATAGTCCCCATCAGACATAGTGAGAGTTCAGGAGACACCTTAAAAAACAAAGCAAGAAGGATTAGTTAGTCAACAACTCTGCCAAGGCTTCCTTTGACAAACATTTAAAATACAAATCACTATTTGAACTACAAAGCATCCAGCAGTGGAACCAGTTCTGCACTCTTTTACACTGGTTTCACTTTAAACTCTTAATTATGCCAATTACCAATATCAAATTCAGCTGTGTCTGAAAGTGCACAATTCATTTTACTGCATTCTTCCCACTAGAAAGAGAAGGCGATGCAATTTTAAGTTCTTCAGAAAAGACTGAAAATCAAGGTCAAAGTATTCAAGACATCTGGAACATGAACTGCAGAACTGCTTTAAATCTGCATGGAAGCTAGCAAAAGCTACTTAAATGTACCAGCAATGCAATTTTGACCTCACATTCATTGTGACATTATTAACATATGCAAATTTATTTTTTTTCCTGACTGCCCACTACCACTATATTTATATTTAAATAAAAATGCAGTCATTTAATAGCTATTTCTCAGTCTTCAAAAAGGTTTTTCATACGAGAAGGAAAAATAACAAAGCAACATTTTGCTGCTGTTGGTGGTGGTTTCGTTGGGTTTTTTTTTGTTTTGTTTAGAGAACCAATTTTCAAAGTTTTTCAAGTTTCTGTCATGATACTAGTTAACCATTTAAACTAAATCTTGATCCTGAATTAAACAACACGTGTTTTCTCATGGCCCGTACACATTTAAGCAATTTCTCTATCCCTTTTGTGCCTTTGAAAAAATAACCATATTAGATATAGATGATCAAAGTGCAGTAACAGCTATAATGTATAACAAAAATCACTGGCAAATTTCACGTATGCTAGAAAAGGCTGATGTAAGTGCACTAGCACTTACCTGTTGAGTAGCTACTAAGCCTCTCTTCCCCCAAAACAAACAGTAGGGAGCTGCCTTATGTTGTGTTCAAAGACAAGAACATGAAAAGATAAGCCTAAAATAACCATTCTAAAAGCAATGTAACACTGGCATTAAATTGTCTCTTATAAAGGAGGGAAATAGACACCAAAATACAAAAAATAAACTAGATGATGAAATAAAATACAAAAAAAAGCAGAATCTGCTGGGTCAACTGTAAATAAGTATTTTTGGAAGTATTAGCAGCTTGAACTAGATAAAATTATTCATTTCAAGTCAAACACCGCAGTAGTTTGCATCAGTGGCAAAACACCGATTCATTTCTTGAACATCAACTCGCAGCTTGAGGTTTGGAACAAACTCTGTATCTCAAGTACATGGACGTCAATCGCTACCATTAAGCTAAAACCATAACTATCTTTAAAGCTTCAACTTTATGTTAGTACTGCTCTTGGTTACAAGACAGAACTGTGATTAGTTGACTTAGCCGTGACTGGACTTACCACGATCAAATGCAGACAACGATCAGATTTACACCCAGATACTCTCCAACTGAAGAGTCAGTGGAAAGCATCTGATGCTTTTTTGCCATTTCCAGCTTTGAAGTCTCCCTTTCCCCAGCCAAGGCATATTTTACATTATGCACTCTATGACATTAAAACCTTGCAGGAAAGGGGCTTTAGGTGACTCACACGCACTCGCTACCACACCACAGCCAGCTAATTCACTTTCCACTGCTGTGTTTAAATACAAAGTTTTGTAATAAAGTAAAAGATTGAAACAGAAAACCCCACAGTAATAGTTATCAGTGAGCTTTTCACACAAATATACCACAACTACAGGCCTGCCTCCACCACGCAGGTCTGAAGGAGCAGCATATTCAAGTGAGCAGGTTGAACAGGCAGTCACACACTCACATAAGAACATTTTCAGAGGAAATTAAAAGCCCTGATCCATTAGACACACTCATACATACCAGCAAAAGGAGTTTTTTGTTTTGTTTTTTAAATCATTCCCCTTGTTGGGGAAGGGGAAAAAAAAAGTAAAAGCAGATTGCCTACCTTGTAGCTCTACAAAGTCTTTTCATTGAAATGCACTAGAAGAAAGGGAAAAATATTTTAAAAAGCAAACAAGGCGCTTTTCACTAAAGACTGGATTTGATTTAGACTTCCATCTCGTATATGGCTTTTCTTTTACCCTTAGATGTTCTCCAAGGGCAAAGGGCTGTATAAGCTCCCCCTCTACTCAAGTACATGTTCTTTCAGCTTCACTACCCCTAAATTAATTGTTGCTTAAAAAGGCTGACATGCAAATCTTAGCGCCAGTATATTATACAAAGACAAACTAGCTTCATGTCTTTTACTATGCTATCCTACCTGTATTTGCCTTGTCTTGTTGGTATTTTGTTAGCTAGCTATAGGTATATAGAACATACTTTTAATAACAGATACAAATTATAGTGCCACCTAATCACTGCTAATTTATGTTGTAAGAAAGCTAATTTATCATGCACCCTGTGCAAAACCTGATGGAGGAAGAAAGGGCACTACAGCTCTTACCTGGAGCTGTAAGAAACTGTTATGGTTCAGCTGCACCCTTCCCCTGGACAGAGCTGGGTGAAAGCTCTGGTTAAAACATAAAGGTCAAGGTTAGACCTTCAGGAAGTAAAACCTAAAGGTATTCCTGGTGTCATATCTGATTTGTGGAGTATCTATTTGGACAAACACACCACATCATTCGGACCACTTGAACCTCAATTCTCCATATGGCTGGTAGAAGCCCTTCACAGGAAGGGCGTGAAAATGCTATCTAAAGGATTTCCTTGAGAAGGAAATTTTCTCCTTAGGCTTTTGAAATGCACACACCTTTCACTGCACCCCATAATGTCAATCTATTATTCAAATATCTCCAGGGAGTGGTTCTTCTGAACCCCTGCACAGTTAACCTATCCTTGGAGACATGCAAAGAGCTATTTTCATAGCAGTTTCATGCCTTGTCCTCCTCCCTGTACAAATATTTAAAAAGGGATCTCCACCCTCTACTTCCGAGACCTGCAGTCCTAGTGCCCAAACACCTCCAGCTCCACACAACATAAATAGGAATATATTCACAGCAAAGTACATTCATAGCAAAAACTGCTGTGGAGTTATGAAAACTCACGGCCCTGTTTCTAAAAACCCATCCCATTTTTTCCTTCCAATTTTGTGGGTTTGTTTGTTGAGTTTTTTTTAAATTAGGCTTTATAGCTTCATACCTTCCAGTCTTTCCTCCCACATTTCTATACCTTGTGTATCAGGAGAGTGGGAGGTAGAAAAGGAAGAATCAGAGAAAACTGATGATACAATTAGAATTCATCAGATCACCAAAAGAGAAAAAAATCTGGATTCATTTTAGAATGATTATTCTCAAATCTTGCTTCTAAGAGTAAGAACTCCTCGGCTGAAAAAATTCACTGATGGACACAGTTTTAGGCTCCACATCAAGCCCTCCAGGGTTTTGCCTTCTGTAAACCCCTCCTTAAATCCCCTTCAGCTCGGGCTTTGCACTTCACCTAGCATGCAGATGGTCAGGGGCTATAAGCACGTGCTGGGAAAACTCCACTGGCCTTCTCCATTGCTGACAGGATCCCCACAGCTATCACTTAAGCTGTGCATGTACAGCTGCTGCTCTGGAGCCTCCACACACACACATGTCCAGACCGTGGCTTGCCAAGAAAGGATACTCTGCAAAGCAAGTGCTGCTCTTGTTCAGTAGATTTCCTAGTCCAAGGTACTTTCATGTTAACAGGTATCAATGTTAACAGGCTTGTATTTTTGCCTCCAGGACACAAATATCACAACCCTATTGTGTGATAAAACATTCAAGACTATGGCAGTGTTGCTCCTGTATAAATTAAGGAAATCGTCTTGGCATGCAGGATTTCCCCTGTGCAGTATAGGGACAGGGAATATGCTTTCTGAACTGGCCTTGCACAAAACATGCAACTCCTGTGCTGCTACAGAGCTGATGGAGGTGAGAAGGAAAAAGGAAGAAGGCACAGAGAGATAAATAAATAAAAACACAACAAAAAAAAAGCATTGAGCTGCAAATAAAAATGTGTACACACACACAGAGTGTAAAATTCAGGAAATCTGAACATGCTCTTAATCAGACAGTCCTCAAGCACATCAATTTAAAGTAAAATATACCACTTACCCCAACCTCTGCTAAAGGAATAGTTAGGGCACACTGGAGATAGTACTTCCAGTAGGAGTATTTTTCTAGCACCACCTCTTGAGCACGCAGCCAAGAAGCTTACGTGTCACCTGTTTGCATTCATGTTGATGGGTGCTCAGAGATAAAGAGGTGTGCCTCATGTCTCCATGTCTACAGAGGGTGCTGCCTGACAGCATGGCTGGGAAGCAATTACACAGTTCAGTGTCCCATTTATTCCTAGAGGCAAAGAGCATTTCAGAAGAGATTTGTGAACGACCCATCTAGGAGCAGATCTACAGTATCTGCTAAATCACCCACACACCTTAATACAATGACATTGTTCCTAACAAGTGTTTTCATACAAAAATGAATGATGGAGTATATGGATCACAGCCATTCAGTTCCATTCATAGCTGCACATCCTTCGCTTTCGGGTGCGAGAAGGATACAGCAAACTGCTGGTTTTTTTCTTTCTTGTACAGACTCAAGGACACTGCGTTGCCCCATGGGTACCATGGTGAAAGCCGTCTTTACCATAGATTTCTAAAGAAGAGAAAAATTATTCTTTGGCAAAGACTGGAACATAAGATATTACATTTGACATGACTTCAGACCACACCTGCAACACCACCCCATTTCACAGAGAAGCAACACATTTAATAAAGGAAGCCTTCTGGGGATAGAGGGGTCCTCCCCATACTACACCACCTAGCCAGCCCTCCCAAAAGCAAAAAAGCCACTATTCTGTATGAAACTACACAAATAAAACTATTTGTTTGACTCAACCCACTCTTCCCCCTCATACCAAGTGAAATGGCTCTCTGTACAACTCAGACATCACTCCAGCATCCTGGATTGGCAGTGCAGCCATAAAGCCAGTGACTAACGTGGTAAGATGTACCACACAACTATAAAGAGACACA